GGCGGGCTGGGACACGCCGTATTTACCGGACGTGCAATTGCAACCGTGCTGCAGCCTGAGTATTTGCGCGCGGCAGTCGAATTCCCATGTTCGTACGCGCGCGGAAATTTCAATGAATAGAGAACGGACCGCACGCGTTGTCACCCTAAATATTCGCGCCCCATCGAGAAAGAGAGAGAGAGAGAGAGAGAGAAGAGAAAGGGGGAGTAGTCTCGTAACCGGTAACGTAACTGGTGATACCCTCGCTGAAATATTCCCGCTGGACTTTATGGCTTTCGCTTAACCCTAACCCATATAGGCGACCCCAACTGCGACCCGTGGCACTGGCACAAAGACAAGGGGTGATCAGTTAATATTTTCAGCTTTCATCCAGAGACTACAGGCGATGCTAATGACGAATGAGATTATGGTGATTATCGCTTTTGGGGCTATCACACGTTTGAAGCGTCTTCGTCGGTAAAAGGGAAAATATTTGTCCGTTGTAGACGAGCACACTCAATTATCGGACATTTTACGCACTTTCAAGGCGCCCGCATGCGCGCCTATTGAATTCGCCCTCTCGATTGTACGTATTTTTAGCGTCGTAAATATTTACGTGATTTACGGCGAATTTAACGAGGCGTCCGTTCAATGCACTGCGATCTCGATGACTCGAGGCCATTTCGAGTTACGAGTTTGCTATGCGGGTGTTACAGCGACTGTTTAACACGAGTTTATGACACGATTAGTTAAATATCGAACTTTACAGCGCGCCACGCACACTTAAAACCGATGATCTGTATTTACCACGTATTATAGCACTACGTATGCGATTAAACAATGATGGGGAAGCTCACGCTTTACGAGGATTTGTAATTCATAAAACGCTGTTAATACGAGCTACAGAGGATATTTCATCCAAATAGAATAAAATTAATAAGTAATAATTTTATTTAAAAATTAATTAAACATGAACTTTACGCGCAACTTGTAAATTTTTAATATTTAATATTTTAATTGTATGTCAAATTAAAATGCTCTCATCGCCAAGTTTATTAAAAATTTAGTGAACAATAAGATATTCGTCTTTTCTAGGGGCGCGCTTAATATTTCATTAGTTGTGGGCTTTTAATATTTAACTTCAAATAACTCAAACAATATATTCCTCACAGATGGCTATTTTATTGTTTCTTCCGTAGATGCGATTCGCTATTAGGGCAACTAGCGCTATTAGAGCAACTGGGCCCGCATAGTCCCATTTTCCGAGGGGGGGAAGGGGGGCCCATTAATAATCGTCTCTTTTTATAACGAGCCGCCTCATTCCGCCGCCGGAAACTTCACAATTTATTCCCGTTGTTCTTTGGATGAGGTGAGCGCCGCCGCCGCCACCGCCGCCGCCGCCGCCGCCACCGCCACTGCCGTCGAGCGATAGTATAATTGGGATTATCAATCGCGCGTGGCGCGACTCTCTCGGCAATCGGGTCAGATAGCGGGGGCAAAACTGGACGGCAGAAATAATTGCGACATCAGCTGACGCGCTCGCTGTAAATCCCAGACTTTGGCCCGCCATCTGTCACGGCGAACTTGGCGCCATACGCTACGGCGGTTTCTTACCGATCTGCGACGCGACGCGAAGCGGCGGCGCGGAAAGTTTCGTCTCTCCTCCCCCCCGGCCGCTGTTTTCAGCATGCCGAGCTGCCTGCTGTCGGGAAAATATCGCGGGCTTATGTGTCATCAACAAATAATTACACGCTGCCGCCACCGCAGCCGCCGCTATCGTCCAGCGTGTCGCCCTGAGGCGGGAAGTTTTTATCTCGCCCGGAAACTTCCGCAGCATAAAGACGACACGACTGAGCAACGCGATGCGACGCGGGAGTCTTTTAAATGTCGGCGGAAGAAAGTGCGCAATAAGCATATTTCATGCGTGAGCTTCTCCTCGGCCCCCGGGAGAGAGATCGAGCTCGTTCTCTCGCGAGATAAACCGCGGTGAAATTTCAGAGAGAGCTTTGTTCGCGAAACCGGTGCGATAATTAATCGCGATTCCGCCGCGCCGTCTTTCTTCGGCTACTACAAAAGTCGAATGGGAAATGAGTATCTTTAATTGCACTTACGTATAATATGAAAAGGAATTTTTTATGTAATTTAACCGAAACGAAGACACGTTTTGAGCGGTGACAAATTATTATGAATAAATAATGTAATATTTAAAGAATATTATTCCGTGTCTCTACAGGAGAGAATTCGCAGAAAATAGAAAATACCGTATGGCACATTTAATATGCAAATACAGTTATATCTGTATTACATTTATTTTTTGTCTGAATTATTTTTGCTGAACAATAATGTCATTTGTTTGCATATTATAGGATTTCGTAATAATTTTATAATAATTTTTTTATAAAATATAATTTCCAATGCAGTAATAAATAAGGATTTTTAGAAATATGAATATTCAGGAATATCTGCTGGATATTTCTGCTTTCAAAAATCGAACGTTAAATGTGTCGAGTAAAATGATAGTCAAATATCTGTTAACATGTAGAAACGTTTTCGAAAGGAAGGAGATAAGTGACTGGAACCGAGTTGCAATGTCAGCTGCACGGAAAGGATATGCATCGCGGATCCCCCGTGTTTTTGAACCGACTCTCATGCGCGGCGCTCAGCGCGAAAGAAGCTGCATCCCGCTGCGTACAAACACGTAAATACGTAAGGAAATCATTTCTTATCTAGCGCGTCCGCCAGCAGATCAAACATTTCTCCACTCCGGGAGTTCCACGGTTGCTCTCGACTCGCTCACGGTTATTTACTAAGCGAAGGAGCGGCAGTAAATCGAGCGACGGACTTGCGCTCTCGCGCATACGCGCGCGCGCGCGCGCTTTATTGCGATTTTATCTGAGGATATTGACAAGGTAGCCCACGGAAAGCGAGGGAGATATAATTTGTTCTTTATAGCATGCTCGGACGCGACCGTTCCCGGAAGTTTCATTACAACCGGGCTCTATAATAAAGCATTTTCCCATCCTACCATTTCGGCTCTGTTCCGTTACATCCCTTTCCTCCTTCCGCTCGCCGTCTTTCGCGTAGATTTGCCATACTTTCATCATGACGTAAATTGAGCAACGCCGTTGAGATTCGCCCGGGTGAGTGGGAGGGGGCAGGGAAGGATTCTTACGAGCGTACGACAGAAAGTAAGTGGAGCATTCCATGCCAAATCGATCAGCCGGCCCGATCAAAGCCGTGGGGGTTCTGAATGTAATCCGAGTGCGCGCGCGGCCGAGATTGCCGAGGAAAAATCTAATTTGAAACTTAAATGGAGGGAATTTGTATCCCCGTTGCTCTCTTGTGATGATTCTTCGCGCGTAGGAAATGAAACTCGGCTGGGCTTTCGAGTGCCGAATGCCGCGCGATTACGTCTCGAATCTTGATACTTTTCTTGCGCGCACGAATATTTCCCTTGCCTTATCGTGCCACGTTTCGATCCTCGGTCTTGCGCGATATCGCGCAAAATTGAAAAAGAAAGAAGAGGGAATTTTTATGAAAGATATAACATGCCATTATTTTCAGAGTTTATATCGAACTTCTTTACTTTAAAGTTAAACGAATAAAAAATAGAGAGAGAGAGAGAGAGCAATAAAAAAAAAAGTATTTTGCAAGTGTATATTGGAAATATCGTGTTGACATTTCATGGACAATATTAACTGTTATATAGATTTTTCGAAGTGGTTTTTATTTTTTTAGCAGCATTGATTAGATTTGCAACAGATATATAGATAGATATACATATAGAGATCTATTTCATGAATCACGAATGACATTTTTTATGCTGTTGCGAATCTTGTTATTATTAAATTACTGGGCGTATTTATTACTGTGCCAATTACATCCAGACCAAATTAATTATGTCAACAGATACAGCAACATGTGATAACGGTAATAATGACAAATGTAGGGCACTCTCGGTAAGTGATCGTTGGGAGTTGACGATAACGGCGCCGCGTGATATCGTCGTCTATAAACATTTTCATTGTCGTTAAACAATCGTGACGCCTGTATATTGCAATTGCGTTTACAGCAATCGGAAAAGATGAAGTAAATCATTTTTATATCAGAATTTTTCCAATATAAGATGTGAATAAATTTTATATGTAATACTTGCTCCAATATTTTCAAATATATCGTATTAAAAGTGTCAACGTTAGACTTTTTTGACGAAGAAACTCTTGCCGATTTTGTATGAGAGCCATAAGGCACTAGAGTGCAATAATCACAAGATTAGAAATAATGGGCACGACAGATGGACCGTTCGTTCGCTCGTCTATTCATAATAACGGGCGCATTAATACACGCGAATGTAACAATAATCATACGCGATAGGAGTCTCACCGGCTGTTCTTGTCGGGCCGCGTTACGAGCTTAGCGGCTGGAACATTAACGTTACTAATGCGCGAATCGTTTTGTTGACTTTGAGACCGGTTGGCCCGAAAGTTTTGGCTCCGAGGGGACGCAAATTAATGCTGGTTATCCCGCGACGGCGCACACGCGTCGTGTGCAGTATGGTTTTGCGACGAATAGAGCGAACGAGAGAGAGGGAGAGAGCGAGCGAATGTCTGAGTTAGCGTTCGAGCCATGGATTATCGCTGAGCTCGCGCAGGAGTCGCGAACATCGTCGAATACGCCGAAGTTCGTTCGTTTGTGGGCCAACGACATTAAGCTCGCTCTCCGGTAACGCTCTCCTTCGATGCACTTTATAGGACTCGGAATGATCTCGTGTGTCGCGTGTAATTTCCTTAATCGCGCAATTTCAGCGATGACAACTTTGGTGAATTTTTACTTTCCTCTTTACACAATCTGTCCTTGTTTTATTTTACTTTTTTAGAAAATAAGATAGATGATTTGTTTTTGCCGCATGTCGCTATGTTAATTTCTCGCCGAGTGGCAATATTTTGAATATATTACTTAATTACTACATTAATTGACCAGTACGTAAATCATATTAATTATGGTATATGTATTATTTACAGGTATATTTGAAGCAACGGCAGAGCCAACGGACTGCAACAACGGGACATCAATCGGTGAGTAAATTTCAATATTACAATTCATATAAAAGCGCGAAATAGTTGCTAGTGCTACGCCACGCGTATCTTGTTGCATCTCTTGCAGCTGAAAAAATATACATGCAAGATTAGAATGGCATCCATATGCGGCCCCGCCGCAATGAGTATTTTTTAGGGGTAGCGCGCCTATACGCCTTATGGCTCAAACGAGTGCTTCTTCAAAGAGGCACAGGCTATTCTTGCACATCCAAGGCATTAAGTGGCTACAATTTTTTATCATTAAAATAAAATTGGTGTTTAAACACATCTACTTTGATGCAGGAATAACTGTCAGAGTCTTGAAGGAGTCGGCCTTTGATTATGTAAGATGTAATATATATTTATCGATTACCCGCGAAGAACTCACGTTGAACTCTGCCGCGAAACTTGTTGCTTCGATATCCGAGTCGCGACAAACGGCTCGCACGGAAAAGGTTTTGCACTTTGCCTCGAGCGGGTGGGGGGGGGGGAGGGTCCTTGCAGCGTCCGTATGGTATAGTTTGCGGAGTACATTGTCGAGCGGTGTAACGGCGGCGCGCAACGACGCTGTAAAGACATACTTGTCGCCGTAAATACGCGGCTACGGCACGACAGCTTATGACGACGGGTATTGTTTGGCGTGTCAGACTGTTGACTTAGTTTCTTACCTACTGGTTTCACGACGACGTTTTGATTCAAAACTTGCGTTTGCCATTTTGATGAAGAAAGTCGTGATACTGCATCTTTTGAAAGATCTCGCTACTAAAAAATTTCAATATTCTGAGACATTGTTTGGTCGTTAAACGCTACTCATTAGGATATTATTATACTATGATAAGAATAGTTACAGGAAATAATAACAAAAATAAATACACATCAGAAAGATAAATATAAATAGTTGGAGAGAATTGAAAGATATTTGAATCGACTTCTATTGATAAATAATTGTCTCTTGAATGACCCCTGTCGTGCCCCCCCCCCTCCATCTTGCACGAATAAAAAAATCAATAGCGCATTTATGAGCTTTCATATTCCGCAAATTAAAATTTT